CAGTTTTCTCACTTAGAAAATGAAAGGGTTGGACTACAGGCCTCTTGAAGTCCTTTCTAGCTTTAGATCTATAATGCTATAAGGAGAATGATAATAGCTCATGTTTATACAGTACCTTAAAATTAAGAGGAGATAAATATTATTAAAGAACTAATGTTTATTAGCTGACATCTGCAAGTGAGAATTAAGACTTGAACACCCAGATTCAGGCTGGGTATGTTGGAACAAACCATCAAAGTTAATCAGACAACTTGACCTTTTTGTTCCACTGAATTGTCTGGTAGTTTAATGAATTTACTGGGATATGGTAGAGTCTTGTAGATAGAGTCTCAGTTGTCTTTTATACTGGAAGAAATGCCTTCATTCTGGGACATTCATCTGTGTTCAGTCATTTTGTAGTTGTGTCTGACTCTTTGTGACCCCATTTGGGGTTTTCTTGGCAAAGAGACTAAAGTGGTTTGCCGTTTCCTTCTTCAGCTCATTTTACAGATGAGAAACTGAGGTAAACAGGGTTAGGTGACTTGCCAAGGGTCACACAGCTGGTAAGTGTCTGAGGGTGGATTTTAACTCAGATCTTCCTGAGTCCAGGCCTTGCATTCTAGCCACTGTGCCATCATCCTATTGTAAAAGTAAATAGTCATGCTTCTGTCTTGGTGCAGGAGGGAATTTCTTTTCTCTGTTCTCATGCTGCCTCTCTTCTCCACTGTGTCCTAAGCTTTGAACAGTCTTCTACTCCCCCATATCTCACCTCTATCTGTTACAGGCTCTCCCTTTCTTTAAGGCCCACTTTAGATGCCAACTCTTCCATGAAGCCTTCTATGACCTCTTTCTTTCCCTTCTTCATTCTAGAGTTGAAAATGATCTTTCCCTCCTCAAGTTTCTCATTACACTTTGTCTGAACCTCTCTTTTGCACTTATCTCATTCTGCCTTGTGCCACAGCTATTTGCTAGCTGTCTTTCATCTCTTCAGATATACAGTCCTTCAGTACAGAACTTGGGGCATATCTACCTTTATCTCACCAGTGCCTAGCACACAGAGCCTCATATGTAGCAGGTACTAATAAACATTTATCACATTGAACTTGGGAACTGAGACAAGAGGTTTACTTTCCATTTTCTGTTATTTTTTAAATTTACATTAACAACGACAACTAACATTTCCCTACTGTACTGCAATTTTAACATCACTTTCTACTTAACCCTTTGAGCTGGGGTATGCTCATTTTACAGAAAAGGAAACTGAGGTTCAGAGTGATTCAGCAATTTGCCTAAAGTCACTGTAGCAGAGGGGAAATTCAAACCAAGGTCATTTGATTACAAGGCCAAGTGCTTTTCTTGCTAAACCATAGTGTTTACGAGTTTTTCCCTCCTAGCCATCTTCTGCTCCCTAATTCAACCACAGGCAGTCTCTATACTTTTCCTATACGTGCGTCACACCCAATATGTCAGCTCAGTTTCACATGTTAAGTAAGCTCTGTTGACAGCTCCAGGATAAGTAGCATTTTGTGGACCTTGTTTGCCCTTCTTAATTTTATCCTTCTCCCGAGTCAATACCACAGGTCACTAGGTTACAGTTTCTGAAAGGATTAGTTTTTAAGATGTTTGGATGTTGCACATCACTACTTGCACTTCTTCCACAAATAAATCTCTCTGGGAGGTGTGCAGTACACTCTTGTTCACTCTCTAGGCACATCTTTTAGAAAAATTCTTGGTCTATATTCTATATTCTCAGCTATATTCTGTAGTACTTACCTAATGTTTCTTATTATCTAGATAATTGACAATGAGATCACTTTGGAATTTCTGGTAAATCTCTGTTTTGGCTTTTAAAAGAAAATTTAAGTCATTATTTATGTTCAAAATGATAGGCTTTTCTATGAGGGGTTGATCAGAAAACTAGTAAACAGCAACACTGTTGTTATGCTTTCAAATGTACTAAATATGAAAAGAATGACCCTCTCCAACATTCTCTTATCTGCAATCTTGGAACCCAGAGGAAACAAAGCAGACTTTTTGAAGATCAAAAGTTTGATTAGAAAGACTCTTTGTTATAGTCTGGCTTGACATTATAAAGCATGGAATATTATATGGTATGGTACAGTGAAAGATCCTATCGTATAATATAGAATTAATATGGTCAGAACATGGCTTAATGCAGATTCACTTCTGTGCCTTTTAAACCTGCCCCCCCCTTTTGAGAGGCAGCTGGTCAGACACAAATGTGTGTAGACACACTACTAACCAGTCACATCAAATGGGCAGACTTTTTAACTTCTGGAATGTAAGCCCCTGTGGCACCTTGGAGAGCGACACAGGTTGCTCAATACAGTAAACCTGTCTGGGGGAGCGGGGGAGAGAATGTGAAATAAGGAGGTCGGAATGTTCACACTAAAGGCCTTTTTTACTTAATGCTAGAATGTATGCCGAACTAGGAAGACCGTTGATGCATTTCCTTTCATTTGACAAGGATTAGTAAGGATTGAGCTTCTCAGAGGATAGCAGTTTATCAGACAGGAGTTGATGTGCCCACTAGATGGCGTTACAGTTCTATAGAAGGGAACATTTACAATGAGGTACGGTGGGGTGGGTGGGTAGAGGCACAGAGAGCTTGTGAGAGGTCAGGGGTGAGTCAGTTTAATAGCACCCCAGCTCCTCAGATAAGAGAAACTTTGAATTTTAGTCCAGATGAGGAGAGCTTTAAAGGCGCCATATGCCTTTAAATAAATCCTTTAAAAGATGGTTTCATTTTGAATGCTAGAGTCTGTGATAGAAATCCAGGGTGCTACTAGAACTGAGAAACAGTGAATGCTGTGGGAGAATTTTCTCTTTGAGAGAACAGGGCCAGAGGAGAGGCTATCCACACAAACTTCTTTAAGTAGCATCTTGACACATTTTCCAAATGTATTTTCCAAGTAACTCAATCAAGTCTTTAGCTATCATGTAAAAATAAAGGAAAACTAATACTTTTTCTTCCCCTATTAGGTAAAAAAAACTTTTCCCTAGCAGAGAAAGAACTATTGTTGGGATGTACCTGGAAGGGCTTCAAAAAATCCAATATTATTTATTAAATTTATTTATTTTATTTATTTAAATTAAATACCTGCTATGAGCAAAGTACCTGGTGCTGAGATGAAATGGCAGGACAAAAATGCAAGAAGTATCTTCCCTCAAGGAGCTTACATTCTACTGAGGGCACTGCTCCATCCACCTTGTGAAGAGACCAAGGTTTTAAACAGGTGTATCTTCTGAATAGTTTCACAATTGTGCATATTAAAGTAAGTTTGTGCCCTATAATCCTTTTACACACTGAAGCATACTGAGTTTCTGCAAGAGGGAATTAAATATTTAAATTTCATATTTATATACCTCTTCTTCCATAGCCAGATGGTGGGAGGGGAGAGGGAGGAGGGGGAGGATACGTATGACACACCACCAGTCAGTAACAGGTCATGGCGACAAAGACCAAGTGTCTGTGTGTGTGAGAGAGAGAGAGAACATACACTGGAAGATCTGGGAAGGAACCAAGTGTTCAAAGCCTGTAGAATTGAAACTCTGCTCAGACTTCCCCTGGAGTCTTATTTATAGGACTAGCCCTAGGCAGCAGCAGAGTAGGTGGTAGCCTACATGTTGTGATTTGAAGGCCCTAAAAGGTTTCAGTGACCAAAAATATCTCTTCCTCAAGCTGTCCATGGTGCCTGAAATTCCCATATGAACCATACCTTTGGAGTAAAGTGCAGAAGAGACTACTGTTAAAATCAAATAACTACCTAGATGGGGTCACATATTAAACCGCAATATTTTACTGAAGTTTTAGTTTCAGTTACATTACATGGTTAGCTATTCTATCACCTGGCAGGATCCTGATGAAACGGAACTCAGAATAGCTATCTTGATGCAGAGAGGATGGGGGTCATGGAAATGGGGATCAAGAAATTCAGAGACTGGGGACTGGGGATACCACAATGTAGGGAAAGTCTTGTTGACTACAGGCAATGGGTGCCAAAACTAGGGGGAGGAAAGAAAAAAAACTTTTCACCTACCTTACAATCTGACCTATTACAGGACCCACTTGAATAAATCCTTTCTGACAGTTCTATCTTTTGCCGTTATGACTTATGGCTTTCTAAAAATGACCTAAATTATAATAGCTAACATTTATATAAACACTTATTATGTGCCAGGCACTGTGAAAACTGAGGCAGAGATTAAGTAATTTGCCCAGGCTCATGTAGCTAGTAAGAGTTTGAGGCTGGATTTGAACTCGTCTTTCTGACTCCAGGCCTGGTGCTTTATCTGCTGAACTAGCTAGCTACCCAAATAATTGCCAGCTATGTCAACTATCAAACTATGTTTAAAACAAACAAATAAAGCAAAACTCTTCCTCAGAGCCTAGCACAGAATGTTCAATGACTAGCATCTTAGATGTGTAAGGGACCAAAGAGATCATTTACTGTGAACCCCTCATTTAACAGGTAATACCAAAGCCCACAGAGATTAACTTACGCGTCCAAGGTTTCAGGACTGAAAATAGACCCTAAGTCTTCATTACTCTTGATGTGGTGCTAGCTATCTCTAGCACTAGTTAGATATTTCACTTAGAACTTCCAGTAAGTAGAGTGTAGGCGTCTTCAAGTCAAGCACAGTTTTATTTTTGCCTTTGTATGCCCAGCATGAAATGTAATGTCTGGCATGTACATCAGGTGCTTAATAAACATTTGCTGGGCTCACGTGAATTATGCATACATTATTTATCCTCTGAAAGTTCATAACACTAAAACAAATGCAGTCCTCCTCATTGATAGCATTTCCTCATCTCTTTTCTTTCCTTGATAAATAATCATTTTTTTGGGGGGGGTAGGGGAGGGAACAAAGAGATTTCCTGAACTAAGAGTAGAATCTCTGCTTGATTCAACTTAAGTGAACCAGATCAGACTTAGGGAAGTGTTCACATCGGAAATGGCTAAGACTATTTGTAGGTTGAAGTGTGTGAATTCACTTACCTATTTCAGTCATGGTTATCCCTGGTGCTAATTGCCCATTGTTGAAAGAGCTATAGGTAAACAAGTTGGGTACAGAAGTGAGGTCATAGATAGGTTCTTGCTTTATCTGTTTGATTCCAGTCATATCCAGTCCTGATTGATCTGGGGAAGGCTGGCCCGAATCCACGTTATAGTAGCCCTCGGACTTTGGCAGGTCAATGACATGCCCATTGGAATAGGTGCCACCTGTCTCGTTGTTCAAGTTGTTCAGGCCATTGCTGATGCTGCTGCTATAGACCCTGGCAAGGGCCTCTGCCTCCCCGTTCTGCTGCTGCCGCTGCTCCTGAAGCCGTTGCTGGTGCTTCTGCACTTCTGCATACAGGCTGTCCCTCTGCTTCTTGGACATCCTCCCAAATTTGACAGCTGAGTTGGAGGAGAAAAGCAGAAAACAAGATACAATGTTTTCTCTTCCCAGTTCTTCAGACATGACATTCCATCTCCCCTCTGTGAGCCTTTGCCTGGAATATACTTCCTTTTCCTCTCTACCTTGTAACTTCCTTCAAGGCTTAGCTCACATGTCACCTCCTACTGTAGGCCTATCTTGAGGTCCCCAGTTACTAGTGCCACCCTGTTCTGTCCTCTCTGTCTCTCTCTCTGTCTCTCTCTCTGTGTCTCTCTCTCTCTCTGTCTCTTTCTCTCTCTCTGTCTCTGTCTGTCTGTCTGTCTGTCTGTCTCTCTCTCTCTCTCTCTCACACACACACACACACACACACACACACACACATTTAGTTAATATGCTGTTTCCTCCCAATAGAATGTAACCCCCCCCTTGAGGGTTAGGACTATTTAATTTTTGTCTTTGCATGCCTAGTATTTAGCACAGCGCTTGGCATGTAACAGGCATGTAATAAATGCTTGTTGCGTTGAGTTAATCCCAGCATTCTAAGTGGCTGGCAGCAGTTGTTACTTCAGAACTGAAGGTTTCTCACTGCAAACAAATGCACCAACCACTCAGTTGCACTGGGGAGTGTCTTCACTAGCAAACAATTTTGTACCACAGTGCCAGATTGACTGAGAGCCTAGTGTTGTCCTGTATAGAAGGAATTATATTTTAAAAGATAAGAAAGGAGGAGAGAAAAATCATAGATGTGTAAATTTCTGGATATTTTTCTTTCTTTTGACTTAAGAGAAAAAATGTGCAAAGGCCAAAATCATAGCTAGAATGATTTATCTGATGTTCCCAAATCTGGACTATTTACCATAGTATTACTAAATTGTGTAGAATAGCTTGTGCATGTGTAAACCCTAGGTCCTTATCATTGTCACATTTCAGAGTTTATCCATCTCTGTATGCTTTTTCACTTTTCTTCTCACCCCCTCCCCCAGTAACAAACCATTACACAGAGGGGACTTGGTACATTTTGTAGACATTGCAAACCTATACAGCATGAAATATATAACTCTTGTCTCTAGGTTTCTCTATCAGTCAGAGGCAAAATAAATTTAGTGAATTGAATTGGCATGAAATCTCACTCTGGGTTGGAAGGGACCACAGAAATCATAGACCAAGAGACATCATTGGGGTAATGGTCAGAGCACTGGAATTAGGTTAACCTTGGTTTAAATCCTTCCTCAGACATAGTTTATTGTATTGCCCCAGGCAAGACACCTAATCTAGCTAGGCCTCAATTTCCTCATCTGTAAAATGAGGGGGAGAGGTAGATTAGATAATTTCTTTCCAGATCTAAGTTTTTTATCTTATGATACAAACCACATCTGAACTGGAGACACATTCAATATCCACCAGTCACTTGCATAGGAAATCTCTTCTTTCTTTTTATTTTTTTTCTCTTTTCCTCTGTCCTCTATAAAATCTCCCTCTTTAAGCAGTATCCCTAGCCATTCCAATGAGAGAGGAAGAAGGTCTGGAAGTAGTCATGGGCTAACCAAAGAAGGGTTATTCTGCTTTGAAGGTCTTGTTCATATCCCTTTGGAGTTCAGCCTTTTAAGCTATTATTGACAGTGAGATTTTTCTCTGTATGTGTTGTCTGCTCCCTCAGACTTCATGAGTTCCTTGAGATCAGTGACCATGAATTCTACATCTACAAGACTTCAAATGCCTACCAATGTTTTGGACATTGGTATTTAGTTTAAAATAATATTTTAAGTAAAATATTTAGTTTAGGATAAGAATAGAGATAAAGAAGATGATGTTAATGATAATGCAGAGAGTCTCCGTTGAGCAGGTTTTTTTGGACAATGTCTTCCTCTTTCTCCCCCCACTTTTGCTTCCTTCGGATGCTGAAATGTGGGAGTGAAATGTATGGTAGGATGGTCTGCTTAGTCCTCAGCACAAGAACATCCAGCCTCTCTTATCGTTACAAGAAGAGGAAGCTTTCAAGGACCTTATAATTAAATTTCCAACAATCTGTGTTGTCCCAAAGTGGAATGTGTTGCTGCCTAAGTACATAATGAGTTCTCAATCCCTGGAAGTCTCCTAGGTAGATGGATGATTTCTTGTTAGACATATTATAGAGAGGATTTTTTGCTCACATAAGGGTTGGACTTGATGGCCTCTGAGAAGAGGATCTGGGTTGGAATTCTGCATATACCACTTATTATCACTTGTGACCTTGCATAATTCTATGAACCTTTCTAGTTTCCTTTTCCACAAAATGAGGGAGTTGGTGTAGGTGGTATTTTGAGGTTTCTTCCACCTTTACATTGATAATCCTACATTAGAATAAAAGAATGTCAGTGTAGGTAAAGCTGGGAAGGTAGCAGTTTGTTACCAATGATGCATTATATGACAGGAAGAGGTTTAAAAAGACATTAATGAAAGGCAGGAATAGAAAAGGAGGTGAGTTGGTCATGCAGCAAGAATCAGAGGTTGCAAATGGACCTCTGGAGTTTGGCACTGATATCTGGGAAGTGTTAAAAGAGCTAGAGGAAAGTCCCTAGTTTCTTCAGTAAGTTTTCTTTTGGTGAAGTGGAAAAAGCATGGGGATGTGGAGACAGAGGACCTGGGTTTAAATTCCCCTCAGACACTATGTGACCTTAGGCAACTTAACATCTTTGGGCCTCATTTTCATTACCTGCAAAATGAAGGCATTCTATTTGATAGCATCTAAATTCCTTCTAGTTCTAAATCTATTTGGCTTCGCTTATAGAGCATAGCACCTTCTCTGATGCAGGTCCTTTGCCAGTGTCTTTCACGTCATGCAATCAGTTCCAAAATATATCTATTGATAATCTAATCTAACCCCCTTCACTTGATGGAAGAGGAAACTGAAGCCCAGCAGCTTACTTCAGAGACTTGCTTAAAGTCACATAGCTAGAGGGTGTTTGATTCTCCCCAAGTACATGGCACAGTGCCTGGCTCATAGTAAGTAATTCGTAAGTGTCCATTGATTGACTGGGGCTTAGGTCTCCTGATTCCTGGTCTGAGCTTCTTCCTACCCTACTACGCTATATATTAGTTAAAAAAAGTTATAAAAAGACTGCTTGCATCCACAAATATTTCTAGAAAGGCATTATCTTTTCTAAGAAGGTTTTTAGTGAGTCCAGGAATGTATACCAATCAAAATAGAAATATTGTCAAGAATTTGATTTGAAGTCATCTTCTGCCTATTTGGGATTAGAAGTCTGTATCCTGAAAAGCGACCTGGCATAGGGGGTAGAGAATTGGCCTTGGAGACAGGGAAGATTTGGCCTCATGTCTTGACTCTTACACATGATGGCTATGTGATCCTTGGAAAGTCACTTGGTTTCTCAGTGTCCTAGGACATTCTAAGGTCATTAATTATGGAGAAGGTCCTCATCTGGGAGTTCCCTGAATCAGTGAATTCACAAGTCAAGTCTGTCTCCATCTTCCTCTGCTTCAAATGGAGTACAAATGTTAGGAGTTTTATGTGTGTCTATTCCTCTGTCTCTGTCCCTCTCCTTCCCTCTCTTCTTTCCCTGCTTTCTTCCCTTCCCCTTCTTCCCTCCCTCCCTCCTCCCTCTCTCCCCTTCTCCCTCTCTAGCCTTCCTCCCCCCTCTCTACTCTCTCACTCCCTCCCCCCCTCTCATTTTATTTTTATAACAACCTTGCAAGTTAAATACTATTAAGTATTATTGACACTCATTTTAGAGATGAAGAAACTAAGGTTGAGAGAGGAGGTTCAGTTATTTGCCCTCTTGGTCACACAGCTAGTAAGTGTCTGAGATGGGATTTGAATCTAGATCTTCTTGACTTGAAACCTGATGCTCTTTCCACTACTCCATTAAATTGTCTTTTTTGTTGTTGTTGTTGCAAAAATGGACCTATCTGCTTTTTCTATAGACAGTCTTTTTCTCAGTACTATTTGTAAATCAATCAATTACATGGATAAATCTCTGTAACAAAGCTTAGTCCCTAGGAGATTTGTTTTTGATGGAATAGAGAGTAGGGACAGCATTTTTTATGTTTTTTGTTTTTTTGGTCTTTGTATCCACATCACTAAGCTGTTGTTTTTGTCTGTCCTTCGAAAGAGGGTTGACATTACAGGGTGCTGTCTTGACTTGTCTGTGAATTGGATTTAAGTGAAGCACAGTGCCTGGCACATAGTGGATGCCTGCTCAAAAAAATTCTGTTAACCTTTAGAATATTTACATCTTCTTACTGCCTTCTCCTTAATCAGAACAGTAGACATTTGAAATGGAAAACATCTTAAACTTGAATTTACACTATCATTCTGTTAATCACATCTATACATGCATGGAGGGAATACCTTCACCCATACACTGTAAGCCTTCCAAATACTTAGCATAGCACTACATACAAGGTGAATACTTAAGAAGTACTCAGCTTTTTTGGAAAAAGCACTAAATTTGACATTAGTAGATTTAGGTTTAAGCTCCAGCTCTGTCATTTGCTAACTTTAAACTTTTCTTAAGCTCTCTGAGCCTCAGTCTCTACATCTATATAATGGAGATACTAATATTTGATTGTTTGCCTCAAATAGCTATTGTGAGGACCAAATGGGATAATGATTAGTGAATGCTTTAGAAGCTACAAACCCTTTATGTCAGGTAATGTTGTTAATATGAAAATTGGACATTTTTATGGTAGTCTTTACTTTGCTCTTTTATGGTGATCTCTCCTTACAACCATTTCTACCCATGCATTGGGTAGATAAGTGTGTAGATAAGAATCTTGGCTGTGTCACCAGAGGAACTAGGTTCAAATACATTCTTTTATTACATATGCGGCCTTGGGCAAACAACTTCACCTTTCCAGGTCTTAGTTTTCTCATCTGTACAATGAAGGTTGAGCTAGATGACTTTCAATGTCCCTTCCAATACTAAACCTATGATCCTAAATAAGTTCTTGGATTTGGCTGTAGGATCTGAAGTTGAACTAGAATTTCTGGAGTTGCCCAAGGATAATATTACTGATGGGA